GTCAACGATATTGCTGTTATTACAGTGAGAAATATTTTATTATTATTTATATTTTACAGTTATAAGTACCTGTTATTTAACAAATTGTTACATTTCAGCTACACGCTGCTTTTCCGACCTCAATAAGTCCCTTGCCAATGCCAATTGCGGATGTTGTTCTTACTGCGTGTGAGACTGCTGGTTTTGGAGCTCATAATACGACAGCTACTGTAAGTATACTCTTTTCATATCCCTATAATAAACGGTTTCATTTAGCGTGCCTTGTTTGTTTGATTGGGTCAAATTTAGTAATTGGAATTTTAACCCTTCCTAACAACATATCTATCCGATTTTTATTACACACTCTTAATCGTACTGAGTATACAGTATAATATATTTATTTCCACAGCTACCTCCACTATGTAGTCAAGCTACAGGGCTTGATTGGTAAAAAACTCATTAAAACTGATCAACATAAAAAAATGTCTATTAAACACGTTTTACTATAATGAAATATTATAATGGCATAATATAACACTACGCCTTTTATCCCCGAAGGGGTATTGCCACTGTAAAATTTAACATCCACTTTTCACTATTAATGTTATTAGTCCCATGTAATAGGGGGTGAGCCTATTGCCATACACCGTGCACAGTTCCAGGCTCCATGGTACTACTGAGAATTTATAAAAAAACCAGTAATACTTTGCCATTACTTACCCGAGACCTCTTGTCCGGCAGTCGCACTTGCGACACTATGCCAACGAGTCTGTATTCTTTTATACTATTTAATTAAATATATAAATAATACTAAGTACCTTGGCCTAACTTATAAAATTATTGTACACAATTTTGTTGGTAGAACATGGAGATGCTGTTAATGTATATTTTAACAACCTTCTGTATGACCCACAGGTCACAAATAAATTGATTTGATTTGATTTGAAAAAAATAAGTAATGAGAAAAAAATATTACAATATTTTTTTTTCTATTTTAGGCCAGTGTGCAGTTGATGAGTCTGTCGGGAGTATCTTTGACTGGATATGCGCAGTGCAATACTCTACTGCAACAGTCAGGTGCTACAAGTGTACAAATTTTCCTAACATGATTTGCGGAACTGCTACTGGGGTAGGATGTACGGTAAGAATCGTTTATTTATTCAACTTATTATGTAATAGTAAAAATGTAACTATACAATCTTGTTCATCTTTTTCCCTTTTTATAATTATGCAGGATCAGGTATCCTAGTTAGTTTGCGTCAGATCATCGGATCTTATGTTGACACAACCGTGATGTGCATATTCAGGGTCCGTGGGTGAGTTTATGATCGTAAACCACGATGTCGGCTTTGGTCTTGATCCCAATTGTTTAATTTAATGATACAAATACAAATTTATCAATGTTTAATAATGTAACTTATTGTCAGTTACATTGTACAGCATTTTTTTTATTTGCAGGGTGATTTGGGAAACCCATTGGTATGTAATAACAATCAGGTTCTCACAGGTTACTAACTCGAAGTAACAACTGTACTTTAACGGGTTTACCAGAAATCTACACTAGAATTCACGAATTCATACCATGGGTGAATCAAGTGCTGACTACTACCACGACGACGACAACTACTAACGACAACTACTACGACCACGACACTACGACCACTACAACTACACCACCTCCAGCGAACACGACAACCACGACAACCACGACCCCACCACCTCCAGTCAACACTACAACTACGACAACCACGACCCCACCACCTCCAGACAACACTACAACTACGACAACAACGACAACGACACCAATGCCTCCGATAATCGTCACGACGCCTGCTCCAGGATCAGCATTCACGTCACGACTCGGAACTGCTGTAGCACTAACATTCGTAATCATCCAAAGCCTCAATCTTCTAAGTTAAAGTACTCGTAATATTTATTGTTTAGTTATATAATATTTATTATTAATTATTAAGACTAACATTAAACATACATATCTACTGTTATTCCGTGTATTTCTTGTTCTACACCTTTCCTATTTTACGACAAATTAACTTTTCTAATATTGGAACGATTATTTGTATCAGAACAACCATGCCCTTTTTTTCAATACATTTCGATGACTGTTTATAAGGAAATGGTACTACTAAATTCTCTCTGATCCGTTTCACTACCAGACCAACGGTCAGACTCCTTTTGGGCTCCATAGATATAAAATATGTATAGGTACCTCGATTGGATCTAATAAAACCAAAATAGTAGGTAGCATTAGAACGTGAAACAGCTTATTGCATTTTTTGTTACACATTCGTATGCTGACATCATACCCGTTTTAAAAATAAATGGTATCCCAACTGATCTACATATTAGTACTTATCGATGTCTGTTTGGAGAGTTTCACAGTCACAACTGTCAGACATACTTTTAAATAACTATGTCATCAGCATAGGTCAGACACTCACTTTTGATCACATTAAATAAGTCATTAACAAAGATTAAGAACAACAACGGTCCTAAGTTGGATCCTTGAGGGCGCCCGAAGTTACCCGATGTGGACCGGTTAGGAACGATTCAATAGGTAGGATGTAAGCCATCTATACAGATTGCCATGCATTCCCATACCACGAGATATTACTAGTAGAATAGAATGGTCCATTTTGTCAAAAGCCTTAGAAAAATCCGTATTCACCGAGTCAACCTGCGTATATACCGAGCCAACAAACCGTGTTGTTTTGGACTCAAAGTGACAATAAATATGCTTGTATACAAAGCCTGCATGTATTTTTGTAAAACAGTTAATAACGCAAACCTGACAATAGTTTGAGACGTCCCCCATATCGCCCGACTTCTATATCGGGTAACTTTGGATTCACCAACGCTTCCGCATATATACTAATAAACAATGGCGGAATATCATCACAACCACAATTTTAACTCAGATTTTTTGTTTTTAATTCATTTAGTGTTAAGTCGCTCTTCGCAATGCAAGTCTCCAAGCGTCGAGTTTACCCGAGCGTACGGCGCGTCGCGTTCCGCGCGCGCAATAGGGCTGATGACGATACGGAGCCGCGGTGGACTTAACGGGTTGCCGGGGCTCCGACTCGAAGGGTAGGAGTAGTGACGGGGTGGTTTTTAGTTAGTAAGAGTCTGACACTTCCTCTTGCCTCACCCAGGCGGGAAAAGTCTTACGATGATGTTATCTCTTTAAAATAAATCGTCGAATTTGAAGGGTCACAATACAGGACATAAACACCCGGTGCGCTAGCGCAATAAATATATATATATATATATATATCAATATAATATATATTAACCGACGAAAAGTAGTCTGCAAAGAGGTTGACAATATCAGTACCTGAACTACCGATTTCATCCGTATTTTTGGTAACTAGTTTGCTGGTGGTATACCGCTAGAATGCTTTAATATTGATTTTAAGATCCTCCTCTATTCGTTTAATATACGTTTTGAAACATTGATGTGCAAGCAGTTTCGCCCTAACCCTGAACATTGAAAACGTGTCATAATCTCTTAGATTCCTTAATCGTTTCAATATAGTGTGGGCTTTGTGCTTGGTTGTTAGTAATTTTATGAGACTATAGAGAACTATGCTGGGTAACTATTTCCAGAAGCCTTAAATTTTGGAGTAAACCATTCTATAACTGTATAAAAACTATTGTAAAAGAACAGAACAAACTCGTTGCAGCCCATACTCAAGGCATAATCATCCCAGTCTATCTCTTCGATCTGTCGCTTACAGCTATCAAAATCATTTTTTCTTTAGCAAAATTTGTAACCGACTATTTTGACTAAGAGTTACCATAGTAATGTTACCTATCAGTTATCAGTTTCCAGATAAATCGTAATTACTATTATTAAAATCGGCATAGTGACTTCCACATAACAGGTAGATATATGCTGTCGCGGACTTTTATTTAGGACTAATCAAGACAAACAATCTTACAGTACATTATCTATCATATGTGTAACTCCTTTAGGCAGCGTATGCCCAGATAGGTCTCAGAGGCCCGATTTGGTTCCGATTTAAACTGTCAAACACCGAGCGGTCACCGGTAACCGCAACCTATTGTTCTTTAATTGTGTCTATAATGACGGTACTCAACGAGTTAAATAACATTTTGTGTTATATGACGCCCAAAATAATATAAAATCATTACAAACAGTAGCCTATATATAATGTATGACCTACATTACTGTGAAGTGTCGTCTAAATCCGGTTAGTAGTTTTTTGCGTGAATCAGTAACAAAATTATATACACACACTCAAATATGCTCACAAAATTTCGCATTTAAAATATTAGTAAGTTACTAATGCCATATTAGCTACCAACCTCTCCTAAATTAAAAAACCCTTAAACTGCAAGTGATAGTTTAGGAATTAATTGGTTAAAACAGCCTTAAGTGGTATATTTAGTAATATATTTAGATAAATATATTACTAAATATACTACTAAATATATAGAAATGGAAGATTTTAAGGATACGTATAAGATTATACGTATCCTTAAAATCTTCCATTTCTATAGGTTTAAGATCATTGCTATTTTTATGGTTCAACCAATTTGAACTTCTGGTCTATGGCTGTTAATGAGAACACTGTCTACCGCACCCACATCCGCTACTGCGCCCACGCGTTCTTTCAACGTGAACAAGCGTTTAAGGACCGACTGCACGCACCATCTGCGTACCCAGTCCAGGAGGTTTACTCTTAAATCCAGTTCCGATGTGAAATTTCGTACTCTTGAGTGCAGCTCTAGCTCCAATTGCACCTGTGTTGCGTGGATATTGAATGAACTAAATGTAGTTTGACTTATATATTTTATATTTTTAAGTGCGGGAGATGTGCCATTCTTCGGCACGAATGGGCCGGCTGGAACAGATTGATACCACGACGTTGTGTTCTGTCGTTTGAGTGAGGTTACCGGAGGCCCAATTAACCCTAGTGTTCCCAATCCCCGAATCCCCCGCAATCGCAAATTTCCAATTCCTAATTCTCAAACAGCCACTACCACACTTGTAACAATTCTGGTGTTTCAGGTGAAGCGTAAAGCTCAAGACAGATCACGATGGAGAACTTCAGTGGCTAGAGGATACAAGATTTTAAATCAAGTAAGTTACATAACTATGTACTGGTAAACAAGACTAAACTTAAATGTTGCATACGCTTCGTTTTCGACCTGCGAATAAATATGATCCCATCAAATATAAAAAAAAAAAAAAAATGTAAATATTTAATGACAGTGTTAATAATTAATAATAAACATTATATAGGTAGCTTAACAATAAATATTACAAGTACTTTAATTTTAACTTAGAAGATTGAGGCTTTGGATGATTACGAATGTTAGTGCTACAGCAGTTCCGAGTCGTGACGTGAATGCTGATCCTGGAGCAGGCGTCGTGACGATTATCGGAGGCATTGGTGTCGTGGTTGTTGTCGTTGTCGTCGTCGTTGTCGTGGTCGTAGTAGTTGTTGTCGTATTTAGCACTTGATTCACCCATGGTATGAATTCGTGAATTCTAGTGTAGATTTCTGGTAAACCCGTTAAAGTACAGTTGTTGCTTCGAGTTAGTAACCCTGTGAGAACCTGATTGTTATTACATACTAATGGGTTCCCCAGATCACCCTGCAAATAAAAAAAAATTCACTGTTACAATATAACTGACAATAAGATAAATTATCCATTAGTAATTACATAACATAATATCACGCCTTTTATCTCCGAAGGGGTAGGCAGAGGTGCCACTGTGTACAGTGTAGTAGTGATGTAACACCCACTATTTATTTTATGAGTCCCATGTAATAGGAGGTGAGCCTATTGCCATATACCGGGCACAATTCCAGACTCCGTACTATTACTGAGAATTCATAAAAAACCCAGTAGTACTTTGCCCGACCCGGGAATCGAACCCGGGACCCCTTGCCCAGCAGTCGCACTTGCGACCACTCGGCCAACAAGGCAGTCATTAGAGAGACATTAATAATTTCGTATTAGGTACCTATATGTATTTGTATCATTAAAAAACGGAATAGACAGACCAAAGCCATGGTGGGTTTACCATTTTAAACTCACTCACGGACCCTGAATATAAACATCACGATTGAGTCAACAAGATCGGAAGATCCCTGATTTTACACTTGATACCAATCTCAATCTCAATGTCAATACAATTTCAACCCAATAAAATCTCAATAATAATATGCAACCGCACGGTTGGTGCGGTGGCTAGGGAGCTGGCTGCCGTGCAGCGTATAGCGGGTTCGATTCCCGTACGGAACAACACTTTGCGTGATACACAAATTGTTGTTTCGGGTCTGAGTGTCATGTGTATGTATGTTTGTAAACGCATAACGCAAGTTTAAAAAACTAATGAAAAATTATGACCCCAATCGTAGCTGCTAAAATAGCATTCAGAGTACGAAAAATTAAATCAATCTCAATACCATTTAGTTCAATAAATATTCACGCAATACGGATGCAATGGGCGCTAGTGTTACGACTCAAGAGTACGAAATTTTAAAATATCAATGTCGATCGGAATTGGTTTCAAGAGTAAGCATCCTTACATTTTTTTATCATATTTACAACTAGCTTTTACCCGCGTCTTCGCTCGCGTTACAAAAGAATAAAAAGTAGCCTATGTGACATATACCAATACACACAGCGCCATCTATATCAATACTTTTGTTTTTCCTCGGGAATATCAATTTTCTCGGGGTTAAAAAGTACCCTATTATTTAATCCGGACTTCTAACTTTACGTCTGCAAAAATTCAAAGCAATCGGTTGAGTAGTTACGGCGTGAAGGTGAAACAAACAAACAAACTCACTTTCAGATTTATAATATTATATATAATATATATATATATAATATTATATATAATATATATATATATAATATATATATAGTAAGGATAAGGATAAGTATAGAATTATCTATTTAAAATAGCAACCAAAATCCACTAAGGATTAAACTTGTGATATCATGAATCAATCTCAAAATCGAAAAAACTTACTAGGAGACCTAATAAAGATGAATAAGATTGTATGAATACGTTCCTAGAATATCGTAATAAATTGAATAAATAAACGATTCTTACCGTACATCCTACCCCATTAGCAGTTCCGCAAATCATGTTAGGAAAAATTTGTACACTTGTAGCACCTGACTGTTGCAGTAGAGTATTGCACTGCGCATATCCAGTCAAAGATACTCCCGACAAACTCATCAACTGCACACTGGCCTAAAATAGAAAAAGATCCTTGTAATATTTTTTCTCATGACTTACTTTTTTACAAAACATGTTTAACATACAAAAAAAATATGTTGATCGGTTTTAATGAGCACTTTACTAATCATGCCCCTTAGCTTGATCTACATGTAATGGAGGTAGCTGTGGAAATAAATATATTATACTGTATACTCAGTACGATTAAGAGTGTGTAATAAAAATGGGATCGATATGTTGTCAAGAATGGGGTTAAAATTCCAATAACTTAATTTGACCCAATCAAACAAACAGGGCACGCTAAATGAAAACGTTTATTATAGGGATATGGAAAAGAGTATACTTACAGTAGCTGTCGTATTATGAGCTCCAAAACCAGCAGTCTCACACGCAGTAAGAGCAACATCCGCAATTGGCATTGGCAAGGGACTTATAACAATTTGTTAAAAAACAGGTACTTATAACTGTAAAATATAAATAGTAATAAAATATTTCTCACTGTAATAACAGCAATATCGTTGACAAACGGTATATGTCTGGTATATTGTGGGTGGATAGTTATAGTCGCTATGTCGCGAACGTTGTTAACATTATCACTTGTAAGGACTGTCCCAGCGAAAACTCTAAAGTTGGCAAAGTTGATGGATACCCTGTAACAATCATAAATCATAATTATTATTTCTTTAACAAATAAGATAACAAATTTCGTGTCGTTTAGATACATGTTATGTTACCTATAAGTAGGTATATTATTATGGTTTATCATCTTGTAATCGTAATCAGAAAATTGCCTATAATAAAATGACATAAACAGACACTTTTGTATGACTCAAATGTGACTGAAATGATAATTTAACTATTTACTATTCACTAATAATTTCCTGAATTGATAATACATTTTATTGATTATTTTTGTGTATTCAATGATTTATATTTATTTATGTAAAAATACCAACCCTGTATTGGTGTTCATAGTGCATGCTGCAGTTGTCAGCGCATGCTGTTGAGTGATCAACACACCGCCACATCTGTGACCTCTAGTGTAGCTTTGTAATTGACTTTTGTCTTGTAACGATATCTAAAAATAAAAAATATTAATATTTAATATTACGTAACATTGCGTTTGTAGTTTCTCGAAAACGGCACAGACTTTTTTTGTTTTGTTTATAAAATAGGAAGTAAGCGAGCTGATGTATCGCCTGATGGTAGGTAATTGATCAGCGCTGTCCATGGATAATCGAGTCTTAAATCATATAATCCTAATTAATAAAATATTGGCTTATACCGAACCTTATGTATGACAAATAGATCAGATTACATAAAATAAAAAGGATTTTTCAAACTGTATTATTAGGGTCAATATTTCACATAACATGTAATGACAAAATAATACTTGAAGACCATCACATAAAAAATATATAACCTCACTCTTAGTCACAATTATGTGCTTGTCGGAACGGAATTATCCAATGTGGTCCAACCCGATTTGATTGCCAGTGGCTAGTCCAACATTCAAACACTTCTATCTTTTCAGTCAGATTATAAATTTATTAAATACCAGCAGCCCGTCCCGACTTCGCACGGGGTAGACAATTATTTATTTTTGGAAATTTGGATTGTTGTAGTGACATAACTACAATAGTTGGACATATGCTACCGTGGAGTTTTTTGTAGATATTATGATGTTCTTCAATATTATTCTACATTGTTTTGTTCTATCGCTTATAGTTTCGGCAGCGCATTCGACGAAAGACATTTTAAGACTCACTTTTCTACACCTTCAGTTACATTGTTCAAATTTTACCAAGGATCCCTAATTTTTTTTAAAATGAAATGTAGCCTATGTCAAATTGGAAGAATGTAGCATTCTATTGGTGAAAGAATTTGTTAAATCGGCCCAGTAATTGTTAAGCCTATTCATTACAAATATACAAACATACAAAAAGAGGTACAAATCTTTCCTCTTTATAATATTAGTGTAGATATTTACAAGTTTAATATGATACAAGAACTAGGTTCTTAAATTTTATTAAAAGCCTGTTGAAAGATATTTACCACATATTGTATGTCATTTCTGATTTGTCCTTGTGCGATCCGCTCAGCCCCTTGAAGTTTATAACTGTTGACGCCTAGTAAAAAAATGATTATTGTAATTACATTTTATTTGAAATACTATTAAATATTTTTAAATATAAGGTACCATAAAAATATGAAAAACAATATAATAAAACAATCAGGTAATGACACAATAATAATTATGATGATTGAGTAACAGTAAAATAACAATAATTACGTGCTCAATATTTTCATTGCTCTATCATAAAGAGTCATAACCATACTACTATAAATACTAATACTGATGCTACTGCTAAACCACTTAGACAACACATCCTCTAATGGCTTCCAGTTAGGCCAGATAGAAGCTAAACGCAGCCGGGGATAGTTATCAGGGAAGGTAATCATCGGATGACTCCTCCTATCATACGTGAGACGAAAGGGGGTGTCAGGCTGTTACTGGCCGTTATTAAATAAAAATAAATAACATCACGCCTTTTATCTCCAAAGGGGTAGGCAGAGGTGCACATTATGCCACTATACAATGTAACACTCACTTTTCACTATTTATATTATGAGTCCCATGTAATAGGGGGTGAGCCTATTGCCATAGACCGGGCACAATTCCAGACTTCGTGTTACTACTGAGATTTTTTTTTAAACCCAGTAATACTTTGCCCGACCCGGGAATCGAACCCGAGACCCCTTGCCCGGCAGTCGCACTTGCGATCACTCGGCCTACGAGGCAGTATTAAATAATACTTTGTGTCGTATCCGTTATTAATTAAAAACAGGTATTTATTATGCCGCATCCGCAACCACTGCTCATAATGAAGAGTCCCTCTGTGACTCGAAACTAGTAGAGTTTTTCACATTATTTCGCGTAAGTAAACCGGGGCTTTTAATTATTTTAGTATGTCGCATGATAGTTATTATAAGTGTTCGTTAAATTAAGGTAAGTGACAGAAATAAATCAACACATACACCAAAATCTACAACGAGATCTACATAAGACCTGGCTTAACCATAACAATATTATTATAATACTCACCGCAAAAAGCAACCACACACAATAATAAAAATTTATACATTTTGATACACCTATTCTGTCACTACAATGACTAACTAGACACTATTTATTTTCCTGCAATTATTATATACTTATATATGGATTTGTATAATCTTATCTAATTTAGATACCTAGAAATAACATGAAGTTTTTTATCAAACAATATATGAATGTGTCAAATATACCTGTAATTGTGTATTAAAAATCGCTTTTAGTCACAACTTTTGTACATATTAATCCTTCAGGGTTTCTTTTTAAAAGACACTGTTTTAATCATACGCTAATTTATATAATCTCTGATCGATTTCGACCATCGTGGTGAGTCTAACTAGACTGGTCGACTACGTCGGTAATACATATTATAGTGCACGAGTGTGTGCGCAAACTGCACTCTGTTCCCTCACTCCCAGAACCTGATGAGATGGCAGACCAACACGACCGGAGAGACGGCTCAGGACCAACGGCTTTATGAGCTTTCTGAGACACAGGGGTGGACCAGTCACTCAGCCATTGCGCCAACGTGCTCTAATAAGAAGTTGGAGAGTAATTTCAAACTGCCAGGCCTTGTACTCTGTCTTACCACTAAGATATTTTTTATCTATAAAAATGATGCTCAATGTATGTCTCAACATGAATCTATACACATTTATGTTAAGAATGTAACACCTCTCGCTTCAAGTTAAGAACAGGTTTTAGATATCCCAGTTATATAACTAGTTTTTGTCAGAAGCGTCGCTCGCACCCCCGTAGGATAAAAAGTAGCCTAATTGTTATTTCAGACCATACCACTCTCTGGCCCAGTAGGGCTGATGCCCAATACGGAGCCGTGGCAGGCCTAACGGGTTGCCGGGGTTCCGGCTGGAAGAGCAGGAGTAGGAACGGGGTGGTTTTTAGTCGATAAGAGTTTGATACTCTCTCTCGCCTAACCCAAGGTGGGAGAAGTCATGGGATGATTTTCTCCCATAAAAAATACCACCACCGTTCTAAATATCATCCCGATTCTTTCAGTCGCTTTGACGTGATTTTGTTACAAACATACGTAAAAACTCACTCACAAACTTTCGCATTTATAATATTATTATGATTCTAATGTCCATTTTCCCTAGTAACCACTCCTAAATTAAAAAAACCCAAGCTACTTTTATTTAAGTGGCAATTTAGGGCTAATTGGTGAAAACAGCCTTAAGTGATCTAATATTATTTATCTTAGCAGTATCCTCATAATCTTCCATTTCTATAGATTTAAGATCATTACTATTATTGTGGTTCACTCAATTTGAACTTCTGGCGTATGGCTGTTAACGTGAATACCGTCTACCGCACCCGCATCCGCTACCGCGCCCACGCGTTCTTACAACGTGAACAAGCACTTAAGGAACGACTATTCAACTATACGCACCATCTGCGTACACAGTCCAGGGGGATTACTCTTGAATCAAATTCCGATGTGAATTTTCGTACTCTTGAGTGCAGCACTAGCACCAGTTGCACCCATATCGCGTGGATGTTGAATGAACTAAATGGAGTTTGGCTTTAAATTGCGTGTTCTGAATCATGCTATTTCAACAGCTATGATTAGCGTTGTATAATTTTGACATTGAATAATTATTAAAATTTTATTGGATTGAAATGAAAATTACATTGAGATTACTTTTATGAATAAGCGCCCAGTTTTGTATAGTCATGACTGTACAAAATGACTACAGCCGATTACTCAGCCACAGAGCAGTCGAATGTGTGCGAAAGATCAACATCCCCATACTTAAATTAATTCAATTAAATTTTACGTGACGTAGATTTGTTGACCATCACATGCTTACTGATGGATGTTTTTTTTTTATGGAATAAGCCGGTAAAGGAGCAGACGGATCACCTGATAATAAGCAATCGGCGTCTCCCATGCACACCTGGAACTCAGTAGACGCGTTACAAGTGCGTTACCGGCATTTTGGGATCAGGAATTTGAGGATTGTTGGGAATTGAAGTTGGGAAAAAACTTTAAATTTTGTATAAAAAATAATACGTAGTGCACAATGGTCTTGTTTGGGCTAATTTTTTAATCTTCAAACCAAGTTAATTCTTAACTATAGAAAAAAAATGACATATGACAATTTTTACTATGGAAGAATGTAGGTATGTATGTATGTAGGTACCTATGAACTTGATTCCAAATTCCTAGGTGAACGTAAGCAAAAGCGCAATAAAAATCGATAATGTTTGATGATACCATGTTTTGGAAGTGTGATAAGATAATATATTTTGATAAAAATATTATTCATATGTAGCGTCAGTCGTAATCTTGGGGTGACAGCAGACTGATCAACGTTTTGTGCTATAATTTTTTATTACGACGACAATAAAGATGTTTTGGATTTTTGTGCTGGCGATATGCGGTTTGTTGATTTATTTGTATTCTAAAATTTATTAGATACTTCCAGTATCTAAATAATACGTTTTTATATTATGTGATTTAGGTTCAAAGACGTGTTTCAAGAAAATGATTTTGTCAATTTTCTTGTTTTCATTGTGGCGATCGCTATTACCTACACATACAAAACGTGTTAAATACTTTTTTTAACCAATGTCACTCATTAAGTATACTTTTATTTTATTTTTTAGGCGCAACCACAGCGAATGTAGACCGTATCTCCGGTGGAAATTTAGCAGCTCTAAATCAATTCCCCTCTGCAGTAAGTACAAACTATTCTCGCACCTAACACAATACACAATAAGCATTATTATCGCATAAATTACTTAGCACATTGAGTAAATACCTAATAGCCCAGTAGTCGAAAACCGTACTATGTGAGTATATTGTTTCAAATCCGAAACCAATATTAGATTTATTTAATATTATTTATTAATACCACGATATACTTATGTAGCTCTTAATAAAATAGACGATTGAAATTACAAAGAAAAACGAATGAAACAACATACGTACATAACCTCACGCTGTTGCCCATATCAGGGCAGGCGTGAGACAGATTCAGAGACTATGGAACGCCAATTGTTACAAACCGCTTCATCAACAGTCATCAGTCTTTTCATGTATGCTCGTCGGATTAAACAATACAACATTTATTTAAAAAATTATAATCATGTATTAATGTAGGTAACTAGTAATCTTTTAATGCTCTGCCTCGTTGGCGGAGTGGACGCAAGTGCGACTGTCGGGCAAGGGGTCTCGGGTTCGATTCCCGGATCTGGCAAAGTATTACTAGGCTTTTAAAAAAATCTCAGTAGTAGCACAGAGTTCGTAATTTTGCCCGGTATTTGGCAATAGGCTCACCCCTTATTACATGGGACTCATAACATAAATAATGAAAAGTGGGTGTTACATTGTATGGTGGCATTAAGTGCCGTAATGTGCACCACTGTCTACCCCTTCCGGGATAAAGAGCGTGTTATGTTAAGCTTTTAATGTTCACGATATAACCCAACCTAACCCTCTTTTTTATAGATTCTCGAAATTATCTATTACCGTCGATATCACCAAACAAATCCATTAGCATTAAAAAAAACATGAAACTAAATGGGTTATCCTTTTACCTAACTAGATATATTTCCAACAAATCAGTCTAAAAAATCCAAATGTACAGTCAGCACAGCTATAACTATGCAGATAAGAAAATAAAGGTTGATTCAGTACTGAGATAGTAATCATTGGTTGGCTATTAAAGCGAACAATGCTGATGGTAAGTTAGTATAATAATGGCTTTTCGATCAATATTCTTTATAGTTTATTGTTTTCCACATGTATGACTTAGTTGGTAAATATAATTAGGATACAATGTGGACCTTATCAAGCACTACAATATAAGTTTCGGAGGAAACACACATTGACAAGACAACGAAGAAAAAATAAATAACTACCTACAATAAAATCAATGCCAAATGCAATACAAAATAAAAACAAACAAAAAAAAAACAATTAGCCGAACATAGTACCTTCTTCTTTTTTAAAGTCGGTAATTATGTTGAATTGAGTAATAAACAATCAAATCTACTGTCTCTGTACTGAATTAATATTTATTTTCTTACCCGTATAGCAAATAGCTGTGCTGACTGTACATGTACATTGTACCTACGTCGATAACAATATCTTCATTTACCTGTTGCTGATTTAATCCTATAAATCTTATCTAAAAATTTACTTTAGATAATCGTTATTGCAATCAAGGTTGTGATATGAAACAATGAATCATTAGGACGATTGTGAGACGACGGATAAACAGATCAAATGAAATTTTTGTCATCATACACAATAATATAAGTAAATCATTTTTATGGCATAAGCCGGTAAACGAGCATACGGATCAATATAAAATACGGTAAGCAATCGGCTTCGCCCATGGACACCTGGAACACCAGAGGCGTTAGAAGTACATTACCGGCCTTTTGGGGATTAAGAGTTTGAGGATCGTTGGGGATTCAGGGATTGGGGAAATTGGGGAAGGGGAAGGTAATTGGGCCTCCGATAACCTCACTCACACGACGAAACACAACGCAAGCGGTCCGGTCGAGCCGGCCGATTCGTGCCGAAGCGTGGCTCTCGCACACTTATACCCGGTATATGACAATAGGCTCATACGGTGATGATATTTTCTTATGATATTTCCAGGTGTCAATTCAACATATATCACGAGCAGAACCAAGTAGATTAATACAAGGACATGTATGTGGTGGTACTTTAGTGACGCGTTCATATGTGTTGACAACTGGAACTTGTGTACACCAGACCCATGAACCGTAAGTATCTTATTTCTTCAGTTTTCTCTGTTGTATACCTTATTCTAGTAGAAATTAATCTGTCAAACACCAAGCGGTCACCGGTGACCGCGACCTATTGTTCTTTAATTGTGTCTATAAAACCGGTACTCGACGAGTTAACTATCGAAAGAGGTTAAGCCAGGGGGGTTGTAGACTACGCTGGGGCCCAAATAATTCGGGGCCCTTTTACACCGTTATTTTTTACGTTGCACCACACAAGGATTTTCTCCCGTATCTTGGGTGCATTCGTATACACATGACAACCACACTCGGAACCACAATTTGTGGATCAAACGTAGATTTGCCCCGTGCGGGAATCGCACCTGCTACACGTTGCAGGGCAACAACAACAGGCAAACACAACAAACAGGCGTGTGTCCGTCGTACGAATTGTCGGTCCTTCGGGGCCTATATAACGTACCCATTTGTCCACATCGACGTCAATAGGAATCGCCCTATTGACGTCCATGCGGACGAATTTTTTAATGCTCTCTGTAAAAAGTCATCTGTAGGTTTCTTTTATTTATTTGTCTCTATTAGTATTCGTTTTTTTTATTTAAGTTGTACAGTACATATTCATATATCTCCTTATTTTTATGACATGTAAATAAGTGCTAAAAATAAATAAAATAGTACATAAATATCAAAAAGGCGAATTTCCGAAATTATCTGATAAGTTTGCATGCTGTCCCACAGAAACATTGATAAATATTAATTATCGGATTAAATATAAAATCTTTAACATTATTAATTTACCATACCTACTTACTATCAGTAATCCATTTAGAAATACATTAGTCACGTGTTTATACGTTTTGTTCCAAAAACAAATATGCCAAAAAATCTTATAGATACACTTTTAGGTTGAAGATACCGATTTAATATTTCTTTTTTTGTCTATAGGAACTCTCCACTGATTATTCTGAACCAGTATAGAGTATTTGCCGGAGGAGTCAATCTTTTGGAAAATAATATGAATCGGATACGAACCCCAGTGAACATCACTCTGCACCCGAACTATATAGGGCCCCCGGCATTGGTCAATAATCTTGCTCTAATTGGTGTAAGTATTATACCTAAAATACCTGGCATAATATACATATAATTACTCCGTTGTAACTATTGTACACTCAAATACCTACAGGTTTAGTAACAATTATAGGTACTAGTGTAGTTCTGTCCTCAAAAGACTACCAGAATGAACTTGCACGGTTCTCGTAGGTATATAATTTTAAAAGAAACTGAAACTGGCTTCTGTGTTTGTTTCGACATTAATTTCTACTCAAGTCTCTGAGATATAAGAATTATCTGCCTCACCTAGAAAAGTTATTGCATTACAATAAATCGTGTATAATCGCTAACATTATATTATATTGTACTAATTTGTAGTATTTTTATTGTTTTTTAGCTTAACTCTGCGTTTGGAAACGAAATAATTCCGGTAGCTTTGCCAAGTGCAGGCTCCCAGGTACCTGTTATGACACAATGCTACGCCGCTGGATGGGGAGCCGAAGACATGAGATATACTGTAAGTTTTAAAACCTCCTGCTATAACTTAAAATTATGTTCTTTGTTTAGGAATTAATTAATTAATAACAATATTGATACATACCATACTCATATTTTTGCAATTGCAAAAGAATTATTAAAGACTAATATACCTAAATTACTAATTAGAAAAAAATCTGTCCCATTCTACATTTTACGTAAATAACTTCGTATATTTTTTTCAGGAAAGTACTCTTCAAAGATTCGTTTCGAAGTACGTCTATGATCAGCATATTTGCACCATCCAGTACAATATAAATTCTCAGATGAATTTACTGCCCAGTATGTTGTGTGCTGCGTCTTGGGACGTTGTATCATCCGGATGTGAAGTAAGTGTCATACAAATTATCACTAGTACAAAGCAGCAATAATTAATACACTCCGCATTATGGTCCTCGTCTGTACAGTAAGGCGGTCAGTACGATACTAAAACGTGCCACGCTGAGCTATGAGCGCTGACGGTGAGCGTGAGACTAAAATCAGCCTGAGACTAAAATCAGCCTAAAATTATATTCAAGAATAGGTTACTTTACAGAACTGTACGTCTCTAATATAATTAAGTTATTCTTACCGTTTCCTATCAGATGGTCCATAAGCTTGTTGCTATTGAATTAGTGATATAAAAATGTTTGATGAGCATTTCTATCCTCGATTTCACCAGACATATGCTGAAATACTGAAACGTTCCTCAATTTTAAGTCGTGCTTAAATATTATGCTGTCTCTGTCATTTTACAATGAATTTGTAGTGACAGAACTATGCTTAAGCGCGACTTAAAATTGAGTAACGTTTCAGTATTTTGGCAATAGAGTCCCAAAAGGCATTCTGCCTTCTGTTAGATTCAACATAACATCACGGGTTTTATCCCCGAAGGGGTAGGCTGAGGTGCACATTATACCACTGTACAATGTAACACCCACTTTTCACTATTTATGTTATGAGTCCCATGTAATAGGTGGTGAGCCTATTGCCATATACCGGGCTCAATTCCAGACTCCGTGCTACCACCACATGTATGGCAATGGTAAAACCAACATATATGGCAATAGGCTCACCCCCTATTACATAGAACTCATAACATAAATAGTGAAAAGTGGGTGTTATATTGTACAGTGGCATTAAGTGTCATAATGTGCATCTGTGCCTACCCTTTCAGAGATAAAAGGCGTGATGTTATGTAAAGTATCTGAAATAAAAAAAAATATAAAACAATTATACAATTATGAGTAATCCACAAAATCTTCTTCAGGCGTTATATTATTATCATTCCAATTATTTTGGGATTATCGTTTTATTCCAAAACTCCACGGATCACCCTCGTATAAAACAGTTCCTTGTTTTTGTAATACATTTTTCCTATGTAAAACTTTGTTATGGTACGTATAGGGTGGCAAACGAGCAGGTGAACCATCTGATGAAAAGCAATCTGCATCCACAATGCAGAGTCACAAATACGTTGCCGATATTTTGGGAGTTATAGATTAGAGGATTGGGGATTTGGGGATGTCAAGATTCATAGAGGTCACCCGATACCCATATCGAACTAAACTGACTTAAATATGACATGGGATTTGCTGCATTTTCTTTGGGGCATCTATTTTTTTAGTACCTACTCCTCTATGTATGTCGCGGAGAACTTAACGGGTTACCGGGGCACCGGCTCGACGTGCAGGAGAAGGAACGGGGTGGTTTTTAGTCAGTAAGAGTCTGACACTCCCTCCCGCCTCACCCAGGCGGGAGCAGTCAATCGAAGATTTTCCCCCCTTAAAAAAAAGCTCCTCTATCCAGGCTTGGTACTATATAAAGAATCCTCGATTAAAGAAGTGTAGCAAAATTACTGATTTTTTATTTGTTCACAGGGTGACATAGGCAATGGTTTGATGTGTAATGGAACATTGCAAGGTGTCCTGTCAGTATCAACGCAATGCCGAGGTAATAGTGTACCTGAGGTCTACGTTCGAGTCGCCGACTACACCACATGGATTAGAAGCGTCTCAGGAGTAGCTTCCACCTTCCAGCCAGGAATGGCTGCGCTAATGATAATCGCTATTCTTCAATTTATAACCGTAAAGATTATAAGTTAAAGACCAATTTACTTTGCATCTGATTTCTTAGTTAAATGTATTCATATTGTGAAAAAAAAAACATTTTTATTGTCATTATTTAAGTCCTGATTATTGTTTGATTGCAATTCAAACCAATACATCATGAAAGTAAAATAAAATAAATAACATTTTAACACGTATGTATAATAACACAAAAACATTAGTACTTTAAATATGTTTTACTTATTTGAATGACTAAAATCTCTATTTAGTTATTCAAAATAAAAATTTTAATATAAAAAAGTATTTTATTATTACTCGAAGTAAATTAACAAATCCCTGTATGTATAACATAATAATAGCAACGCCTCTGGTTTAGTGCCAAATGTGTTCCTACTGAAAACAAGCAATTCTGCAGATTAAACTTTATACTGGGAATGGATCGAAGATTTTTGAAAGTTCTTAAACTACTTAATCTCAATCTCCCGAACCACAAAGAAGAAGAGCAAGTAGGCGAGAGTTTTTACAGACCGATGATCAATAGGTAGGAGTCTGGCAATAACTGCGCAGACGACAATAAGAGCGTCCATTGCCCTTGTCATTCCTAGGTATACGAGTATATGGACGGTTTGTTACTACTAATACAAGATGAGACACAAATGTATATGCAAGTAAAACCACTTCATTATGAACATGATAATTGTTTTTAAACCAAAGATGATATTGAGTTTTTTTTTAGTTTTTTTTTATATATTCTTCTGCATAAAGTGTGAAAGTTATCGCCCATTAACTTGAGCGCGTTTGAGGTTCAATTTACTTGCAAAATAACTAAAAGGTTAAGAGTGTTATAAATTTCGAGCACGTTCATTAGGCCCACATGGATCCTCGCCCCGGCTTTTAGCTTGCGACACATGTCGGAATTTCGTAATAAGATTTCCTTTAATTTAAGATCTCAAACATACCTACGTAAATTCATTGACGGAATTCCTGTATCAACACCTGCTAGTGGAATAAGCTACGTAAATTGGGACGCTGGCAACGGTTAATACCTTCCAATAGGAATGGAACATGGGAATCATGTTTATCCATAAATTTAAATAAGTTTTCAGTGCATCAAAATAATTGACAAACATTACACTTTATTTTTTTTAAACTCGCAGATATTTTTTACATTTTACTGAACAAAAGTAGAAAATGTCCCTTAATTTTTTAGTTACAAAATATCAACTACTTGATTACGATATAAAATAGTCTAGAAATTATGAGAAAATACTTTAAAATCACCCCCTTTTACATGGGACTCATTACATAAACATTGAAAAAGTGAGTGATACAATGTAGAGGTACAGTGGCATTAAGTGCTGTAATGGGCACCTCTGCCTACTAGGCTGCCTCTGCCTAAAAGGCCGGTTTTTATACAAAAAAAATTCTTACTGTTAATAATAATATTGTATATACATTCATAAATTTAGTTGTAGAATTGTTAATAATTGAAAGTAAATAGTTATTTTCACTGTAATTACACTACGGTATTGAATTCAATTATTGCTCTTGTATGTACAAGAAGATGGTATCGTGTAAATGATCCTTAACTGTCACGGAGACCCATGAGATATAGTCCCGTAAACAAAGCTAATGTTGATTTGCTTCGTTCTTATAATTCTTGAAGGAATCTGCAAATCTTTGCCGCAAGTAAGTTACTCTCGGGAAATAAGATACTACTTCTTGTGAATAACTGTTCAGTGTTCAGGCTCGACTTGGCAATATTTTTTTAGATCAGGAGAATATGTTTAGGTGTCCTTATTACTCTTTCTTAAAAACTTTGTTGTTATTGCGTTTAAATTTATTTTGTTTGATAGCTTTCAAATTTTGTTTTGTAAAAGTATTTTAATGATTAATGTGATTTGTGTACATATAAGCTAAATCGCTGTCATTATCACATTTCCATGATACGTATTACTTTCGGAGCTGCGGATAACTTAACGGGTTACCGTTGCTCCGGTTTAAAGCAAGAATAGGAACGGGGTGGTTTTTAGTCACTAAGAGTCTGACACTCCCTCTCATCTCACCCATGGTAGGATAAGTTATTGGATGAATTTCTTATCCATAATAAAAACTTATATTAAACTGCTATAAATACTGTAAATTATATGGGCGTATGTATGCCGAAAAAGTGATTACAAGCACGATAGACGACGAATTATAGATCGAGGTCATTAATTTTTACCTTTGAACCGAAACATTTGATACATATATCCCATAATTTGTACACAGTATACGTATTTATGTCATCATTAGCTATTTTTACGCTTTTTTATGTAATAAACCGGTAAACGAGCAGACGGATCACCTGACGGAAAGAATCGGCGCCGTCTATGGGCACCCGAAATACAAAGTGTTACAAATACGTTACCGGCCTTTTGGGGATTAGAAATTTGAGGATTCGGGGATTGGGGAGATAAGGTTCGGAGATACACGTATGAAAAGGAATCATTTTCACGACGGTCTTTATATTACCCTGTTTTTTAATAAACCTTCTTCACAATTACATATTTCTATCCTCTTGCTATGTGTGCTTTATGCCTATATCTTCTTCCGTCCAACTTGACCCACACTCCACGTTAAAACTCTGGTAGTCTCCTAGGTCACTACTCTAGTAAACTGCCTCTCAGTTAAATCCAACCACCAAAAGCCTCGCAAGTCTAATCAGAAATAGAAAATTAATTAAATCAATCAATTTCTCTAATATGTAGTTTCCAATCATAAAATTGTATTGCCAGTTCAGAATTGTTATTTAGCAGATTCAATATTGGATCGATCGAAGTAATGTTCTTAATTTTAGTATGCGACCTTTGTGGTGGAACAAAACCATCATTTGTGCATTGCCACCCAAGCTGTTAGGTTTAATGTACTTTATTATAACTGTTGCTTGAAGTTTTGTCGAGCCAGTCAATTAATTTGAACTTTTTAATATTTACTCAGGATTTATAGTTCATGTATTCATCACTAATTACTATATAATAAGATGATAGAAGCCCCATGAAAAAAGATAATAATGGAATAAGAATATATTACGATGATCTCAAATAACTAATATAGATAGAAGGTAAACGCAAACCAAAAAAGTGTTGGCGAAATATTTGATTTATAACATTTTACAAACCAACATAGAGGAAACTGATATATATACAATATACATTTATAAGAAACTAGCTTTTACCCGCGGCTTCGCTCGCGTCACAAAAGGATAAAAAGTAACCTATGTGATATATATCAATACATACAGCGCCATCTATACCAATACTTTTGTTTCCCCTCGGGAATATCCAATTTTTCCGCGATAAAAAATACCCTATTATTTAATCCAGACTTCTAACTTTACGTCTTCAAAAATTCAAAGCAATCGGTGTAGTAGTAACGGCGTGAAATCGGAACAAACAAACAAACAAACAAACTCACTTTCCGATTTATAATATTAGTAAGGATGTTAAACTGACCGACAAGGCTTAACCAGGTAAAGCCAGAGGTATGTTCATAATTTCCCCAAAGGTTCAATTTTAAGGGTTTCCTAATTGGATCAATATCAGTTACTTGATCTTGAAAAGGTAATTGATCTAATTTTGGATAACTTTAGAAGGTCAGACTGTTAAGTATTTGGGGAAATATTCATCTAAATATAAGTATATGTATGTATTTTGTAGCTAAGTTATAGATAAAAAGTTAAATAATAAGTTTATCCTTTTACATTCATTAAGTTGATTTTAGGTCGAAAGTAGATTGCAATGAATCCAAAATTTTGGGTCATTCATGAATTCGATACAACAGAGATTATGCATGTAGTGAAAACAAACTATCTACCTAATTTAAAATGTGTCATGTCGAAAATTGTGTTGAAAATTTACCTACCGGCAGTGTGGCGGTGCTTGTCTAGCGAGCTTAAATTACTATCCACCAGCCTTAAAGTTTTACGGTTCATTTAGATCGTATTAACACCCCAGCCGCTTTCGAGGGACGACTTATGTAGCCTCTGACATAGATTAGAAATTTTGTCACAGAATTAATAGGTTTACTAACAGTGATTTTTATATAGATGAAAATGATCTTAAGTATATAATTACATGCTGTAATTTGGAGGTGTAAATATCGGGCTTCGAAGGATCGGATATAAATGAATAGGTAGTAATAGAAACATTTAACATTTTTTCGAGCTTAAACTCCCTCTTGTGTGAGAATGAGAATAAAATATTTGTAAGTACTTTAAAGTTTAAGTAAAAGGAAAATTAAATATGCATACTTTAAAAAAATATTATTATTGTACCTACACTATACCCTTTGCATCTGATCAGGACACAAATATCATTATTCCCAAATACCCAATAACATTTTATTTTAAAACATTACTTTAATTAAATGGATAGAAAATAAAACGTGATTTCATTAGAAATTATTAGAAAGGTTAATAAACTAGGATGTAATACCTAATTGGAGAGGGTTAATCTCCTAATAACAGAAGTTTATACAGGTTGATGCTACCTTGGATTTACATCTCATTTATGACGGTTAAAATACATAAAACGAGCCAAACAACGCCAGTAGGGTCGGGGGATGATAGAATTTGTTACAAGTTTATGGCAAGATTCGCAATTCTGCTACCTTTGAGCCTAGGAGTACTCACCTTTTGGGACGCCTAAATATTTGGATTTAAATAGGTAAGTACTTAAAACTATTATCCTAAATTTGATATAGGCCTTTCTATTGGATATTGACTGCTAAGAAAATTCTGGCTTAAAATCTTTAATTATTTATCGTAAATCGATAATTGCCAACTGTGAAGTCAATGTTAATACATATCTAACAACGTATATACCTATGTATATGGGCACTATATTGGTCCAAATTTGTATTTGGCGAAAAGTATTATCATCATAATCACGCCTTTTATCCCCAAACGGGTAGGCAAACTGTAATGCCACTGTACAAAGTAACATCCACTTTTCGCAAATTATGTTATAAGTCCTTGTAATAGGGGGTGATCCTAT